CCCCAAAACCCCAAAACCCCAAAACCCCAAAACCCCAAAACCCCAAAACCCCTAGATGTTACTTCAGACTGAAAATATATATTAAGCGTGGCTTCTTCTCTTGTTGTCTTGTTCCTCTAGCTTCTTCCTGCTCTTCTTTAGTTTCTTCAGGATCGACAGTTTTTGCTGGATGAAGTCTTTGTGGTTGGTAGATGGCTCATTGATGGTTCTTTCGATGCTGATTTGTCTTCTGAGTTCGATGCTCGCTAAGCAGGCTGATAGGGTTTTCTGTCTGTGGCTTTTAGAAGCAGCAAGGTAGAAGTCAGCGGTCTTTCTACATCTTCTTGACTTCTTTGGTCTGTCTGACTCTCTCATCAAGATTTTGTACTTTGGTTGGTAAGGCTCAGGAGCAGGGGCATCACATTCTTCATACTCAGTCTTCTTGCAACTAGAAGTCATGAGATTTGTCAGACTCAAATTTGCAACTGCTGGACTTGCATTTTGATCTTGTGATATGTTCTCTGCTTGCCTTCTGGATTGTTTACATCAAAGATGTGCGTCTTCTGTAGCCTTTGGCAGCTGAACCATGGCATATGATGACTCTTGAGATTTTGGAATGCTCATCCTGTTAACTTCATAATCTTTGGTGTTTGAGTTCATGTCGCTATTAGATATGAGGTCTTCTCTTTTGATGATGATCCCTGAGCCGTTCTTTGAGCCACTCTCGATCATCTGACATTCCTCAACAGCTTTGTTAAAGTCAATACATTTGGTCAGAGAGGGTCTACTTTTATGACTATCGCTTTGACTCAAATTAGTTTCTTTGTCTTTAGATACTTTTAAGTACTTCATAAGAGTATACCCAACTTCTTCTGGACTCGTCAAAGTGATGCTATCTGCTTCCCTGGCCTCATCTTGGTGCTCATTCACAACTGTCAGACTCTTTTGACTCTTTTGATTCTTTTGGCTCTTCTGTGCTGAAAACTGTTCATTTTGAGTATGGGGTTCTTCTTCTGGATTGCTCACACTGCCATATGGTAATAAAGGATCTGTAGCTGTAGACACATATTCAGATGACAATTTGTATGAAATCTTATCATCTCCTAACAAATCAGACAGATCTTGGTCTTTCAGCTGAGATTTGAGAACTGAGTTTTGTTTCTCAAGAGACTCCACAAGTTCTTTAAGTTTGGAGTTCTCTGTGAGCACGCTCATGACATACTTGAAGTAGGCTTCAGGAGCAATACTGACAATCTGGGGTCTTTGTGTCATTTTAGTAAATATTATATTTGTGACCCAATTATCAGTTGAAATACTGGGGTTTTGGGGTTTTGGGGTTTTGGGGTTTTGGGG